CTTTCCCTTTTTCCTTCTTTTACCCTTTCATTTTCTTTCTCCTCCTTCCTTCCTGACCTTTTTTTCGCTCCCCGTCAAACTTTCCTTCCTAAGCACTTTCCTATTTTAAATCTTCCTAAAATCTGAAATCATGATTATATTTTATTCTCCATTCTTATTTTAAATCCTTTCCTATTTTAAATCATTTCCTAAAATTTAAAAACCTTATATTTTATTCTCCTTCTTTATTTTCATTACTTAAAACAAGTCTAGCCTCTTTATAAATATGGGATGATGCGCCTAGAGTTACGGGCCTTGTTTTTTAACTCTGAATTTAGGTTTTAGCCTTGATATTTTCCCCTTCGAATGTTGTATCCGACGTCAAAGTAGTGCTCCGATTGTCCCTTGTTTGATGTGGTGATCGTCTCCAAGGGTCAGGGTGATGCTCTGGTTGTAACTCGACTCCGCCAAGATATTTATCTATCCTCACACACCTCCTGTTGTTGTCCACCCGTTACCTAGCACTACAACAAGCCACCACGCCTCTTTCCCAGTAACCGCCTGCTTCTGTCCTGCCTTCAACAGCTCCTAGTAGCCTCCTGGCCGACCTCCCTACTGTTGTTCTTCATCTTTTGCACATCCAGTAGTCCCTCTGACTCTTCCCAGCAGCCACAATACCCCTTCCAGGCATTCTCTGGGTCAGCCTTCCTCTTCCCACTACTGCTACCTAACTCCAACATCCCCGACAACTCCTAGACACCCCCCTAGACCTTTGCAGGCCGCTATCCACCATCCTCCCCACACCCAACCATCTGCAGCCCGGCTCCTTTCTCCCTCCAACCTGCTGTCAAACTTCTCCCATTAAGGCCACAGATCCAATACTCCATCCCACACTCAGCCGTCCTTCTGAATAGCCCAATCTTGCTGTCCACCTTCCCAAAATTCCTCCCAGCACTCAGTCAGTCCACTTCCAGCAGTCTGCTATGCTGTCCAAGCCTTTCCCATAGCTTCCAGACCTTCCCCGCTTGTTCTCCACCCTCCGAAATTGCTAAAGAGCCTTCCCCGCTACTGTCCCTTCCCAACTTGCTACCCCACCTTCCAACCTACCCCCCAGCTGCCCAACAAACATTCCCGCCACCTTAACCTGTTGCCTCCCTTGTCCAGTTCACCTTCCAACCCCGGTCGGCTTCTCTCCCGCATTCACCCTTACTGTCACAAGTCTTCGGATCCACTGGGCAACCTCCACCACCCTTGGGATACACTTTCAAAGTATTGTCTTGTGTCTTTGTGTTTGTTTGTCATTTATTTCATGTTTTGAAGAGTCGTTGTAATCGATTTCAATTTCAATAATAATATTAGTGTTTCTTTTATGGTTAGGGTTTTCTCTTCCAGTATCATTTAGTATTAGAGTTAGTCAACCTTAGTCCTATCCTAGGGTTCCTAACATCCGCCATCAACCAAAAACTTTCCCACCACCAACTATCCTCTCCACAACCCAAACCCTAACCCCACCAAAATTTTCTTTCCTATTCCTAAACCCTAGCTATGTCACCAGCAAGATATATGTCTGGGCCTTCCCGAGAAGAAATATGGCAAGAGATTCGCTGATTTCAACGGAAGATTACGGACATGGAAGATGACATCCAATGGGAGGTTACCTTCGGCTGTGATCCGGAAGGTCGAAGGAAAGAACAAGAAAATATGATGATGAAGAAGGAAACACAGCGCCAGTTACTACAACTTACTATCGTCAAAAATTGAAGACTCTAGCTTCCAAAGTGGATAGACATTGCACCGCCAAGCTATCCCCATTGCTAGTATCCAACGAAACCAATCCGCAAGCTTGTCACAGCTATAAAATATTGTAAGTGCCACCGGTTTGGACATGTTGAAGCATAATGCACAACTAGGGGAGTGATCTACTTCACCGAGCAGGGCGTCATACAAAAGTTGGGTAAAGACACCGCAGGCACTGAAGAGCAGTTCCAACTAGAATTTTCATACGATGACGTCTTCCCCTGTGGAACTCTCTTGTTCGTAGATACGTCCAATGTCTTTCCTCCATGTGATCAAAAGGAACATGCGACTTTTTATGAGATTGTGGTTTCTGCCCTCCTAGAAGATGAACCTTTTGTTGAGACAAAAAGATCACGCGGACCAAAAGATGTCAGAATCTAAAATTTCATTGGATGGTCTTAGTAACGACCAACTGATAGCATCACCAGTGGCTACACTGCCAACACCTTCTCGCCACCCCCAACCGCCCGCATCTTTGCTAAAATAGCTTCCGACCCACCAGTCCTTGTTGCCCCCGCCTCGGAACAACAAATCTTTGTCGTTACTGTCATTTATGCCCCAATTTCTTGTTGTCGCTGCACAAGACAACCAACCCTCTAGCTATTCCTGCAGTTTCTCACCTCGCCTTTGTTTCCGCTACCTTCTCTAGCCATCTTGATCCACCTAACCGGCCTCCACCACCCTAGAAATACACTTGAGAGGTATTTTCTTGTGTCGTTTTATTTTTTTATGTTGTCATTTTCCACTTATGTCGTGTTGTAACTCTATCTCTATGTCAATAAAAGATTGTTTTGTGTGTTTTTGTTGTTTTTTTCTTACCAATCGTGTTTTGTACCGCTCCACCTTCCATTCTGGAGTTTGCTTCACAATGAAAATCCACTTATACCCAACTGTTTTTCCCCACTTGTAGTGGCATTATCTCCCATATTTGGTTTTTATGGAAAGTCCTAAGCTCTTCATGCATAGTCGCTTTCCACTTGGGATCCTTCTTAGCAGTTTGCCAACACTTGGGTATAGAGAAAGTATCCAAAGATGCAATGAATATTTCATGTAAAGGTTATATGTTAGAATATGAAACAAAGTTAGCAATGTCATGTTCCCACCCAAAACAATCTGGAGGATGTCCCGCAATGCTGCAAGAAGTCCATAAAGTTAGGGGGCTAAGAGAAGGAAGAATCATATCACCTGAGTATTCTGAGTCGAATGTGGAGGGTGTAGGCGTCTCAAGAGTCGGAGAAGACCGAGGCAAGGGACTAGTTGACACAAATGGTATTGCAGACATCGTTCCCTCATTTTGCTTCTTTTTCCGTATATACACCCTTAGCTCACTTCAGTCTGAATCCTACCACTTCTGTGTTCACCATCCTCATTTTTGGTTTTCCAATTGATTCACCCCAGATCACAGAACAACGCATTGCTCTCACGCATACCACTCTCTCACAATTACCACTCACCCTCCTTTGCCTCATATCTTCAATATATGGTGAGTCACAAGAGGGTGAGGTCACCTCCTGGGTCTAGTACGATTCAAATTCTCTAAATGACACATTCATGCTCACAAACAGTCTCTTCTCTATTGGGCTTCAGCTAACATACCCCTTCTAGGTAACATAATAACCTACCTATGAACATACATTTCACATCTCTCGGTTCCAGTTTCCCTACTGATGACCTGTTATTCTTCACAAATCATACACATCCAAACAGCTTCAATAGGATGATCCCGCTATTATCTTTATTCAACATCTGATAAGAAAACTTTCAATCAAACGTACTTGTTGACATCATATTGATCAATTGAGCAGTTGTCAAAACTGTTTGCCCCCATAGATTATTTTGGGACATTCATTGCGATAATTATGCTTCACGCAACCTTTAAAAGACGTCTATTATTCCTCTCTACCACTCCATTTTATGTAGGTGTGTATCGACATGTGGTTGATGTTGTATCTCTTGGGCTGACAAGTATTTCCCAAATGCTTTGTTGGTATACCTTGTCCCATCATCATAGCTCAATACCTTCGCTACTGCACTATATTGGGTCTGGATTACCTTGTGAAGGTCTTTAAAGCAAGCAAACACATCATCATTATTTTTCATCAAATATAACCAAGTAAAACGAAAAAAACAATCAATAAAGGACACAAAATATCGAGAAAAATGTCCTCAAACATCTGAATAAATAAAGTTAAAAATATCAGAACTCCTATCCCAAAACTGATATAAGGTCTTCTAATAAACTTGCCAAACTTAGAAGTATCACAAACCAGACTTAATTTATTTGTCTTTTCATATTGAGAATGATATAATCAACTCAATAAATTAAAACAAGAGTGTCTCATACATCTGTGATATAGTAGCAATACATCCTCCACACTCCTCCCAAATTCTTCAACTCCATCACTCTCTACCATAGATGTCAAATTTGAGTCAATGCCCTCCCAGTTCAAGTACCAAAGTCCGCTATACCACATTACAATCCCAAGTGTCCAACCCGTCTCTTTCTCTTAGAAGATTAACTTAAAAATATCAAAATAAACAACATATTTTATTCGAAGAATGATGACACTAATGGATAAAAGGTTTACCTAGAAAATAAGCAACATAGTCATATAATTGGTACCCCTCATTGTACTCTTACCAACTGCAGGTTGTGTTGTACCATCAATAGTCTGGATGCTTTTTGTTATTGCTAGGAAAGTATAGGAAGAAAACTCTACAACAGTACCTATCACATGTCGAAATGCATCAGAATCTAACATCCATTCTAATGATCCTGTAGTGGAAATAGAAGCAAGAGCATGTATATTACAAGTATCTTTGTGAGAATGAATATAAGTGATAATGTTCTCCTTTGATGACGATTGGTTGGAAGCATCCTCAACCCCATCTCCTGCTGCTTTATGTTTCCTCTTCAACTTCAGACACTCACGATCCTCATTAGTAAAAATCACATGAGTATATCCCTCCTTTGTTACTATTAGATTTACCTGGTAGTCGCATGTTCCACCTTTTCGACCATCACGGCCACGACCACGACCTCCACCATGTTCACATCTACCCGTCTCTCTCTCCTTAGATGACCTAAGATAGGTCTTGCTCAGATGTCCAAATTCGTCACAGTTGTAGCACTTGCGAGCCTCCCTTTATACATCTATCATAATTGAGCTCGAGATAGCCAAAGTTGATCGCATACCCGAAAGTCCACTCGACTCAGAGTGTAGCTTCATACGACTCTTCTCGTGTATCATCGCAACAATGGCCCCATCCAGTGAAGGGATAATTGTCTGAGCTAGGAGGACGGATCTTCTCTGATCAAAGGCCGGGTTCAGATGGGCCAGAAACTACATAGTTCTCATCTGTGCAAATATCTTCTCTTTCTTGCACTCCAAATTGCCACAACTCTACATCGGTGAGAAATAATCAATATCTGCCCACAGCTGCTACAGCTCTATAGAGTACTCCTGAATTTATTACTCTGAACCATTGTCTCTATCTCACATTGAATCTAAAACACCCTCATGTGGTTCTTAGTTCTAAAACAATTCCACTTCAGCTTTGCTCAGATGTCCCTCACCTTTCAAATGTCATCTACTGAAAATGCAATTGATGAAACCATCGAGTTGAGTAGCCGGGCGTAAATTAAGGCATTGTGGTCCTCCACTTATCCTTCTCAACACTGTAACTTTTTTTGTTCGACCCCCGACGGATATCCCTCTAGTCTCTTCCCTACTAGAGCAGTTTCAATCCAAAATGACCAACTTACATATGTGGTCAATCCATCATGTTCCAGATCCACAGGAGGGAGATCTAGTTTCACTTGCGTCAGAACAAGTGCTGAAGAGTGGCTTTAGTCGAGACGCTAGCTCCCTAGATAAGCCCGATCAAAACCTTTAGAACTTCAGGATTTATCTTCCTCAGAAGCTCCAATCATTTATCTCCCGCACTATTTTCGTCTCCTAAAATCCTCAATCACAACGATCCAAGTCTAGATCACACAAATCACATGCGAATTTGATCCTTCGTGTATGTGCGCAATAGCGTCTCACGTCTGCCATCAGTATCGCGATCGCTAAGGGTCTCCCTCTTTGTCGTTGGCTTCTCCAGTGAGTTCGCGAGTTGAGATATAGGCTTAAATAGGCTAATACCAAAAGGAATTGTTCAAAAAAATCTATTTTGTACATTAATAACATAGGCTTAAATAGGGTACTGCACAAATAAACTCCTAGGCTTCTTCAATATTCCCCTTCTTATCAAATAAGGTCCAATTCTCAACATACTTCATTTGAATTTAATGCTTATTTGGAAATTTGAAAGAAAACAAGAGATTATAAGGTTTTACATACATACCACTCAATTTTTATGTATTTAAATATCCACCCAAACTTCAATTCGTATATACTAGCCACCTTACCTATAGATGAAAGGTGTAATTTTCTTTTTAATATGAAAGATTTTGGTCGTATAAATGTAAAAAGTAAAGTTTAGGTGTTAGATATGTACTTTCAGGCGGTATGTAAGTAAATGCCTAGAATATAAAAGCATCAATGTTCATACCCAGTTTGAGATAGGGAGACCATTATCTTCAGAGATTGGCATTCTTCCTGAAATGATTTCCAGTAACAGAATTCCGAAGCTGTAAACATTGCTCGCTGGATGAGAAGTCGGCGCTGCCGCAAAATTGTCTTTGTTCTCATTTAAAAAGTCGTTTTCTTTTCCAACCGGCTCACTGAAGATTCCAAGGTCTGCGATCTGCACAAGAAGAAGATTAGTATTACTTGTTTGTAGCATAAAATAAAAATATATAGGAAGATTTATAAATATGCCACTAAATTCCTATGTACTTACACATCTAACACCTAAAATTTAAGTTTTACATACATACCACCTTATCCATGCATGAAAATGAGCATTCCACTTTTTAAAAGTTAAAACGGTGGTATTTTTTATGTGATATGAAACATTTTGGGTGGTATAAATATAAAAAACAAAGTTTAGGTGTTTGATGTGTAAATACATAAAAATGGAGTGGTGCATATGAAATGCCCCAAATATTTAACTTACCTTTGCAGCATAATCATCTGTTATAAAAATACAGCTTGACTGCAAAAAAGGGTGTACTACTGCTGGCTTGAGATCATGCATATATTGAAGGCAGTAAGCAATGCCCATTATAATTCTCATTCTAGTGCTCCAATCTAGATGCTCAAACTCTTTCACTGAAAAATTGAGGGAAAAAAATTATTTTTGTAGATTATAGAAGACATTTTTATAGAATTAATAACTAACATCAGATTTAAATATAGAGCAATCTGCATGCATACCACATAATTCTTATGTATTTACATGTCTAGCATCTGAAGTGTAAAATAAATACATCCACATACATACATACACATATACACATGCACGCGGGCATACGCGCACGTGCTAAAATGGACATAAATTACAACCATACTATAATCATTCCTATCAAGCATGTGCACGCACACATATATAGGGTATTTGCATACATACCAAACAACTCCTATATATTTACATATCTAACACTTAGTTTGATTTCTACATTTGCAGCATTAAAATCTTTCATATCACATCAAAAATACCAACTAGAACTAATCTTTAAAAAGTTAAACGCACTTTTTAAAAACAAGTGATGTGAGAGCTATCACAAGGCAGCGTGATTCGGTTTTCAGCTATCCCAAAAAAGAGGGATTTCACTGTTCTGTGGAATTGGGCACTCCATTGTTGCAGTTTGAGCAAATCACGATCTTCTCACCCCATTCACAGCCTTAGCAGGGAGGGGAGAGCATGCCTGTTGGGGCTGCCACGGGTCCTGAAGGACCTTATTTCCTATTTATTTATTTCTTATTTCTTTATTTTCTTATTTTTTATTTCTTTATTTTCCTACTTCCGAATGAGGTTATTTTCTATTATGAGGATCTCATGTGTATTGGGTTGTTCGAATTTTCAGTTTGTTGACTTTATGATTTGAGATAAATTTCTGTGGTTTATGATATTCAAAGTGTTGTACCCTATTTTTTTTACAATTGGTGTATTTGTACCTAGCTTAAGAACAAGTGGTGGAACATTCTCGCCACTCGTATCTCACCGTTTTGCCTTCCAACTTCCTAATTTCAGCTAGGAAAGCCGCTGACGACATCAAACCTGCTATCCAATAAAAGATTTATCCCTATAATCCCGTAAAAATATCATCGATCACACGTATTAGCCTCCCCTTGCGATTCCACAACCACCTCCCCGTGAAATCCACTTCTCAAATACCTTCTACGAGCCCTATAACAGAATTATCTAGTAGAAGAGCACGACAGAGCCTAAAATTTTAAGGATTTCTATTCCTTTCTCCCAAACAAAAAAACCATACATTATTTGAGTCACAAACTTTTTTTTCCTCAACCGTACTATAATAATTCTTATCACAATTCCTAGCCCCACAAAAACAACAACAACAACAAGCCTTTATCACAATTCTTAACCCCCACGAAAAAAAAAATTTCCCGCATTGTCCACCTAGCTAAACCATTATTTTCCATCAAAACTTCAACAGGAAGAACACGAAATCATGCATGCTACCAAAGAGAAAACCTGCAATTAGGTGTTCAGAAGTTCACTATGGAAGATATGCATCAAGAAATTCTCCAACTGCTATAGATGTTTACAGCCTCGAGGGGAGACAACCTAGTAAGGTCACCCACGGTCACAACAGTGACTCATAAAATCAATAGAAGGAAGTGAATTCCTTCCACCATGTAGTTTCCAGTGAAGAAGAACATTATCTCAACAATTTGGCATAGCATATCAAAGGAGATGCCAAAATTTTTAAGTGACTTATCAGATTTTGAAGTTCACATAGATCGCTACAAATTCATTGAGTGGCTCCAGGCAATGGACCGGGTCTTGAATACAAAGTCATTCTGCCCGATAGAATTGGGCAAAGCTAACAGCCATCAAGCTTAAGAAGAACGCTTCCTTGTGGTGAAAAAAATTGAAACACTTGCGCCAACATGAGGGGAAAAAATAAAATCACAATCAGGTCCCAGATGAATAGATGCGGCATAAGTACCTCATAGTACATTATAGCTAGGGCATGTTCTTGAGATTTCACCAATCACAGAAGCAAGATCTTTTAGTAAAGGATAGAAATCTGAGTTTGAGCAACATATATTGAAGTGTGAGCTAGTGGAGCCCGAGGAGAGCAATATAGCTCAATATCTGGGAGGATTGAGACCGTCTATTCATAAAATTATACAATTGCATTGATATTGAATATTACAAGATGTTCAGACCCGAGCTTTAAAGGTGGAGAAAAACTATCAGATCCACACCACCCTTCAAACATAGTTCAACCCCAGAATCAAACAACAGGAGTAAATATAATGGAGTATGCCAACCTATCTTGTTAGAGGAAAAATCAGTTCAGAATGAAAACAAAATGGAGATCACTAAAACTCCTAAATTTGTCCTTGCCAAAAAGTACTTCAAGTGCTATGATTTTGGACACATTAAGTTTGATTTCCCAAACATAAGAGTGATCTTTCACTAAGCAGAGCGCGGTAGAAGAGGCAAAGAGTGAAAACCTAGAGAAAGAGAATGGAGAGATGTACTAGCTTGCAACCGATAAGAGAGAGATGCTAGAAATTTAAGCTGAGCAAATGAAACTCCAGCAAAATTAGCATTCATTGTTCTAGAAGGTAGTGAGTCTGAGATAATGGACATTCATATTGATGCTCCCCGTACCTTTTGCAAGCATTAAGAGGAGCATCAACGTGACTAACATTGATTGTCCAAGGGGGTCATGAGTTCAAGAAGTCGACACCAGACACATGGCAATCCCTGATAAAATAAATCATGATTATCAAACATATGGTCAAACTCCTAAGTCGTCACTATTGAGGGAGGTCTAATATGTCAAATATGAGAAGATTTTGAGTTATTTCTGAAAGGCTAGAGTAATTAGGTTGTTCAATTTTAGTTTAGTTCAGTAGTGCACCCACAGACATATGAACAGACAGGAGTGGTGAACCACGGCTTTAGAAATATCTTTCAATGTTTTGCAGGAGGTTCTTCTAAAGAAGAAGAATAAGCCACTCATAGGCAAGGAGAATGACGTGGGTGACATCAAGCGGTTTGGTATCCCACTATCCCAAAACAACGGGATTTCATTGTTCCACAAATTCAGCACCACGCAATCTTCTCGCCCCGTTTGCAGCTTCAGTAGAGAGAGTGGACTTTAAGGGCTGCTTATTTTTATATTTTCTTATTTTATATTTCTTTGTTTTCCTATTTCCGAACTAAGACATTTTCTACTATGGGATTTTTATACATGTGTATCGGGCTGCTTGTATTTTCAATTTATTGATTTTATGAATTGAGAGACTTTTCTTTGGTTTTATGCTCTTTGGAGTGTTGCATCATCTTCCTTTTGCAAGTGTTGTATTTGTATTTTGCTTAGGAACATGCGATGGAACCTTCCGCAACTTGTATATTGTCATTTCGCATTCCAACTTGTTGATTTCAGCTAGAACAGCTACAAACGACATCTAACCTATTGTCTAACAGCATATATTGCGGCAATCCCGTACGAACACCTCCCCTCGCTACTCCACAACTACCTCTCCACGAAATCCGCTTCCCAAATACCTTAGGAGCCCTAGAATGATATCAACAAGTGGTATAAATGTAAAAGTTAAAGTTTAGATGTTAGACATGTAAATACATAGGAATTGTGTGGTATGTATGTAAATCTCTCTCTCTCTCTCTTTCTCTAAATATATATATATATATATGTTACATATTTGAGTGTTATAAATGTAAAAATTAAATTTTAGGTTTTGGATATATATATTATAAGAACGGTGTGGTATTTATGTAAATCCTCCTCAAATATATGATTTCTAACAAACCATGAAGGTGCTCAAAAAGTGTCCCGTTAGACGAATATTCAAACACCATCATCCTCATAAAAGGATCATCTTCCTGACAGTAACCCAGAAGGTTAACGAAGTTCTTGTGGTTTATTCTTGAGATTGTGTCTATCTACAATTAAAAGATACAAAAAATTTTAATAATTTCACTTCAGGTCAACAATAATAGAATGGAAATGAAGAAGGAAACATATTACAAAAATACCAAGTATGCAAAACCTTATTTCTGAATAGAGAATCTGATTTTTCAGACCAATCAAATTTAGATGTAGCTATTGTAGAAACCACTGCTATTTCAACTCCACTTGACAATATCCCTTTAAATACAGTCGAATTTGGATAAGTGATGATGATGTTGCTAAAATCCTCGCAAGCAGCTTCGAGTTCTGCTCGGTTTAACTTCGGTACACCTAAAAATAATCAAAATAAACTGAGTTATATTATAATTTTGGGCAATTTATATATATGCCAGACAATTCCTATATATTTAGATATCTAACACCTAAACTTTGATTTTTGTATTTATAACACTTTACCTATGCATGAAAATATGCATCTCACTTTTAAAATATTAATAATATTGATATTTTCAGAGAATTAGCAAAACAATCCCTTGATTTTTTGCAAGGGGGTCATTTTAATCCTAAAGTCTATAAAGTGTCAATTTAGCTCCCGGCACTTTTAATATGGGCTAAAATAATCTTAACAAAGGATTATATTATTTTTGCCCAAATTTAAAGAGTATCGGGACTAGTTTGGCACTTTTATAAACTCGGGAACAAAAATGACTATATAAATAGTAATGGGACTATTTTGGCACTTAACTCGTGATATTTTAGATGTGATATTAAAAAGTTGAGTGCTATAAATGTAAAAATCAAAGTTTAGGTGTTCAGATATGTAAACACATAGAAATCGGCATATAGTTAAATGCCCCAAATGATAAAGTGCAATATCACTGTTTGGGTTCTAGTAACTAGAGAACACTAAAATGCACCAAAAAGAACAAAGAGTAACAGACACCAAACCTGTTATAAAAGCATTTCGTAGCGGACCACTTAGTCCAGTCCTCCAAGCATAGATTACAGTCACATTTCTTATATAAACCCCAATGAATGCCATAATTACAATAATAATAGAGACAGTTATTGGAATTATCACTGTAAAAATCCATTTTTTCCAGTTTTCCTGCTCCATTGTGTCAGGTTCAACAGGAACTGAGGAAGGATAAGCAAATGGTGGAGCTTTTTTACTACTAGCTCCTTTTGAATATGGTATCGCCGCAAATGACCCACTTCCATGAGATGGAACAGAAACAGCATGTAGAGAGGCACTGCTCGCAGGAGCAGAAGGGAGATTCTTTGATTCTTGAAGCAGATTGCGTCGAACGATATGTAAATCATGTACCGGTTGTGAAATATATGAGGTTGCTGCTGTAGTAAGAGAATATTTTGCCTTATTATTATAGAAAAGCAGGTTTAACATACATACCACTAAATTCCTATGTATTTATATATCTAGCACCTAAAATTTAACTTTTATATATACCTATGCATGAAAAAATGTATTTCACTTTTTTAGAAGTTATAATGGAGGTATTTTTTATGCGTTGTAAAAGATCTGGGTGGTAGAAATGTGAAAGGTAAGGCTTTGGCATCAGATATGTAAATACATATGAATTGAGTGGTATGTATGTAAATGCCCTTGATAAAAAAATTGTATTGTTCATGAGCATAAAGCATACTCACTACAGAAATTGCTTCCAATTTTGTCCCCATGCCACTGCAAATATTTGTTTTTAAGCTTTGACCTTCATTTAAAAAATATGTTTTTTGAGAAATGCTGAAATATAAAGACTGCAGTTAAAACCAACTATGGCTTTGTTCGGTTCAGCTTGTTTTATAAAAAGCAGCTTTTTAAATCCAAATAGAAATGAATGTCTAAAAGAACTATAAAATAATGTTCAATAAGAAGTGCTTTTAAGAAAGTGTTACAGCCAAACAACAACAACGACAACAAAAACAAAGCCTTAATCCCACTATGAGTGTCATATTTTCATTTAGTTCTAATAAATTAACATTACTTTTTATACAATAAGCCCAAGTCTTCCTAGGTCTCCCTCTGTCTTTCTTAACATAAGTCGAATCTGAAACATCTACTCTCCTAATCGGATCATCAGATTGTCTGCGCTTAATGTGACCAAAATATCTAAGACGAATTTCTCTAATTTTGTTTGTCACAGGAGCTACACCAACCCTATGACGGATATATTCATTTCGCATTTTGTCTCTAAGTGTAAAGCTACTCATCCAACTAATCATTCTCATCTCGGCAACACTTAACTTAATATTATGCTTCTCTTTTAAAGGCCAACATTCAGCGCCATAAAACATTGCAGGTCTCACCACCGTCTTATAAAATTTTCCTTTCAGTCTAAGCGGTACTTTTCTATCACAGAAAAGGCTCGAAGCATTCCTCCACTTCAACCAACCAACTTGAATTTTACTATTAACATCCTCATCTATATCACCATCGTTTTGAACAACAGACCCGAGATATCTAAATCTTTCACATCTTTTAATAATTTGATCACCCAAAGTTACACTTCTGTCACAAGAGCTACTACTACTAGAATCACATTCCATGAATTCAGTTTTATTTCTACTCAAATGAAGGCCTTTAGGCTCCAATGTAGTATGTAGGTCTCCATAATTCAAGTTTTTCCTAGGCTTTTTCTCTCATCTTATCCACGAGAAGGATATCATCAGCAAAAAGCATACACCAAGGTACATCCTCCTGTAAATGTCTAGTAAGACAATCCATAACTAGAGCAAAAAGATATGGGCTTAAAGCTGATCTCTGATGTAACCCACCAGAAATAGGAAAATATTTGGTCAATCCTCCTTCAGTTCAAACACAAGTAACAGCTCTAGTATACATATCTTTAATGACTTGAATACAAGTCATATCAACACCTTTCCTCTCAAGAACTCTCCAAAGGATATCTATTGCGACCTTATCATAAGCTTTTTCTAAATCAATAAAAATCAAATGTAGACTCTCCTTATTATCTCTGAACTTCTCCATCAAACAGCTCAATAAATGTATAGCTTTCATAGTAGACCTGTCAACTTAATTTTTCTATAAATTGCACACTCTTGTGCATCCCCTTTATTCTTAAAAATGGGGACCAAAATACTCTTCCTCCACTCTTCAAGCATCTTTTTAGTTTTTAAAATAATATTAAAGAGTTTAGTAAGCCAAGAAACTCTCAAATTTCCTAAACATTTCCATACTTCAATTGGGATATCATCAGGTCCTACAGACTTTCCATCCTTGATTTTCTTTAAAGTCTCCTCAACTTTTTTTTACTAATGCGACGATAAAAAAGAAATGTTTTATTATTATTAACAATATTAAGATCACTAAGGTCAGTTGTATTTTCAGAAACTTCATTAAATAATTTATCAAAATAATTTACCCACCTATGTTGAATATATTTTTCTAAGAAAAATATTTTTTTTATTTTCATCCTTAATATACTTGAGTTAAATCTTTATTTTTCTTTCTCTTTCTTTGGCTAGTTTATACATAGATTTTTCACTCTCCTTGGTATCTAATCTATTATAAAGATCATTAAAAACAGAATTTTTAGCATTACATATTGTTTTTTTAAACTCTTTGCGGGTCGTTTGATATTTTTCTCAGTTTTCTAAGTTTTTACATTTAAACAAATTTTTATAACATAACTTCTTATATTTTATCTTTTTTTGCACATTATTACTCCACCACTAACTATTTTTATTTGAAGAATTTTTTTTCTTTTGATTCTCTAAGTACATCTTTTGTTACTTGTTTAATAGTGTTTGTTATTTTTTCCCACATAGCATTTGGTTCATCATGAACATTCCAAAATTTGAAATCTTAAATTTTATTCATAAAAATAATTTTAATTAATTTGTCTTTTAGGTTCTCTCATCTAATTCTATGATGATGAGTCCTAGTATTCTTTATTTTACAACTCTTCATCTTAAAATCAAGAACTAATAAACGATGTTGGGTACTTAAATCCTCACTTGGAATGGCCTTACAATCTTTACAATTTCGACGATCTCTTCTTCTCATAAGAAAATAATCAATTTGTGTTTTATTAGATTCATTCTTATAAGTAATAAGATGTTCATCTTTTTTCTTAAATAAAGTATTAGTAATAAAAAAATCATACGCTAAAGCAAAATCTAAAATAACTCTACCTTTTTCATTAGTCACTCCAAAATCATAGTCACCATGAATATTTCTAAAATCTTCTCCCACTCTCCCGACATGTCCATTTAAATCTCCTCCAATAAAAATTTTTTCTTCAAGAGGCATCTTTTGTATTAAGTCTTCTAAGTCATTCCAAAATTTAT